GCCCCTGTGCCAAAATCACTGCTAACTGTTAAAGCTAATACTGACAACAAACACAACACTAGCTGCAGCTCCACAACAACATCAATGTGACTGAATCTGAACTTGAAAGTGACTGTTTTTCCAACTAAAACTCATTTTCTTTTTTGTCAGCACGCGTAATTCGAAACACAGACCGTGACGCAGACCGCCTCATCCACCTCTTCATGCCTCATCATCTCCTCCCACGCCGATTACGTGCACGTGTCATTAGAAAAAGTGAGTCCACGGAGCGCGGTGCCCCCTCTGGCCTCAGCACGCCCCCCCCCCAGGTTTCCTCCTGCCAGACCGCAGCAGGCGCAGGCAGGTCAGGTTACAGCCTGACCGTCTCACTCCATTAGGAGCTAATGGGTGGTGTGATGGTGACACAGAGGGCAACACGGAGTCCGAGTGATTAACAGAAGGAGAGGCACCGAAGGACAAGATCTGAGGGTGGGATGACCTGGCGGAGCCTCTGTAAGTCACACACACCTACGCAAAGAAAACAGAAACGGGCCTTATCCTGACTGAATCCCAGTCTCTTGCTTCAGTGAACTGACAAATCGCTTTGGAGAGGTGCCATCACTCAAAGTCAAAAGGTAGAGCAATGGATCATCTAAAATAGGAATTAAAATTCCAAAGTGCAACTTTAGGAGAAAAGTCGACGCGCGTGCAGTTAAATGAAAAGCACGGGCACAGCAAGGATTCTCTCTCCTTAAGCGTTCCTTCAGTTCTCTCATCGTAATTACAATCAAACGGGGTTTGGCGAATGTGTGTGTGTGTAGGGGGTATTGTTAATTGAATATAATCAGATGAAGAGCTGTTGTGGTGCTCAGATGGGGGGGGGGGATTGAATCAAGGTCGAAGCTGATGAGATATGATCAAATCAGCTCAAGTGACCGAATCCCGCCGGGCAAAACATTCAACCGCTCCAGTCTGATCTGATCTGATCTGCAGGCAACAGTGTGACACAGAGATAATCTAACTTTATCCAATATGCTGTGTGTTTACTGGAGATCTGAATATATTCATATAATGCTGAAGTTTAAGAGAATGCAGAATAAATACAACAGACACCTCATCCTTCCAATCCTACAAATCCTAAAGAAAAACTGAAACACTGGTATACTTAGGTACAACTTCTTGGTCTACATGACCTTCATCAGGAGTCATCATGCAGTTAATGGGACTCAAATCCACAAACAGTCCTGTAACTTTGAAATAATGAATTGGAAATATAATATATGGCGGTCTTGCAAAACAGACAAACATTTAGAAATATGATTTCACTGAAAGAAAACACGAGAGCAAAGACTGGAAAAACCGAACAGTTAAAATCACCATTTCCCATGATGCGATTTCGTTTCAGACAATCAAATCTAGAATGCTTAACATGTCTGGAGCCTGCAGGCTTCGGCAGTGACGGCTACCAAATGTTCTTTTTGAGAAAAAGGCAAGAATAAAATGAACTGAGCGACAGGAGGAACATGATGGCTGGCTGCAGGTGAATTGCAGCTGATTCATTGTATAGATTGTATGTTCCTTCACGAATACCAAATGTGTCAGACAGACATGGTGCTGAACGCAGGTAAGGATGTATGGATCAGCATGAGATTGTGAAAAAAGTTACAGATGGTGATAACTGGATCATCCTGCCTTTAACTGATCCTTAACTACCCATGAACCATCTTATGTCTCTTCTTAACTTTTCCTCCTTTCATTTTTTTTTTATAGTTCAACGCATTATATAAAACACGACGAACAGCCTTCATGTTTGTGTGCCACACAAATAAAATGCCTTGCCGTGCCATTTTCTAATCAGCCGCTTGAACCTCATGCTCCCGCTCATCACTGGCCATTCAGAAGGTGTGCAGAGTTATTTGACTATTCAGATGCCAATCAAGCGCGGGCTCGCCACTGCGGTGAATGAGGGGAATGGAGGCGAGGGAGCGAGATGTCACGGAGCGCCAAAGGCTAATCAGCAAGTCTGCGCCTCGCAATCACGTCCTATTCAATACAACTTTTTTTCTCAAGCGGGTTAGCACGTTTTTAGTAATGCCTTATTGTCGCCTGTCAGAGGCGCTGACATCTGACATGTAATAAATGACTTCAGGCAAATCACTCGACTTAACTCACAGGAGAGTTGGAACTAGAGGAAGTGAAATCTACAGCAGAATTATTTCATTTCATCGTGAGTTTGGGAGTTTTGGACTTGACACAATGTCGATGTCCACGTTTGGCCTGTAACTATACTGGACGGATTTAAATTTGCATTGAGATGCAGGCTTAGGTTATTGTAAACGTATACAGCTGTGTATAGATCCAGTGTTTCTTGCCAATGTCTTTGAGTGCATTTCCTTTTTAACAAACTATTTGCAAAGCCAATATATATTAATATTTATAAAACCTGATTGTATAGATCTGTGTTTACATCACCTAGGAGGAGTTTGAAATGTATTGCTCTGTTCTGAAATGTTTGAAAGGCAAAATGTCAAATTAAATCAAATCAACAATTAGCAAATACAATTGTGTGTATTCGACCAGACATTCCAGTTTTTGATGCACAGTGCCACAGACACAGTTTGGCCAGTAGCAACGAGTATTGTGGCTGGCCGTTCTCTTCTTCCTTGCAATTTGCTGCCGCCTTTCTATATATGTCCCTTGGCGGACTGTCAGGAATGTGTCTCGTGGCGCCCATAAGATTGTGAGTATACAATGCCAGCCGTCGTCCTGCTCATGTGAGCGTGGCAAGAGATGCAAACAAAACAGGCACGCACTCTTCAAAACATTGCTCCATAGCACCACCGCTGGTCAAAAACTCCACAGGGTGTGGTACAGACAGTGTCTGAGGAAATCTATGGAATCCTTCTCAAAACAATATATCCGCTATCAACTGATATATCAGTTTTTTATAATAAAAATGTCATAATTCTGGCCAAAAATATTCCTGGCTGTACTAAAGTACAACTTTGCAGCTGTAGTTTAAACAATATCACATATGTTTAGTATAGGAAGTCTAATTAGTGGAAATCATAACTTTCCATGATTCAACATTTGTAATAAATACAGCACTTTCATGCACATCTGTTCAGTTTGTAAAATGAAGTGAGTAAAGGTTTCCTTACATGGTGTCTAATTAAAGAGGGTCATTATTCAAAGAGGTGTCATTTTCTCTTCACAGGATATGAAAGACGCTCATGACCACCTACTTTAAATATCAGAACACATTTCCATGTGACCGACCGGTTTCTCTAGCACTGCGTCCTCCACTGTGACATGCAGGCAGAAGAGATGGATGATGGGAGATGGGCTGGTAATCAAGCACTGACATTTCACAGAGAGATCAGCTGGGATATGCACCCTTACCATTTACATTCCAGCAACCAGAGACTGCACGGGAGGTTCATGGCCGCCTTGTAGGCGCAGTGATTAAAACGGGCTAATTAAAGAGAGATGGAGGAAATCATTCCAGTTTTTTTTTTTCCATTAAATTTCCCATGAAATTAGATTTCTCGTTTGGCTGCATGGGATGGAAGGTGGAGGTTTTTAGGGTTTTTTTCCCCCCTCGAAAACAAGGTCCGTGTTGGGTAATGCGTATGTGTCTGTGCACGTGGAATGAGGAGTGACAGTCCACTTATGAGGAGACGTTATGCTCCCTGAGTTTAATTCCCACTCTGGGGGAGATCGGCGTGACAAGAGAGGACACTCACACATGTTGAACATTCAAATTTCAGCTGCATGTGGGTGACGGCGAGGAATGATGAGAAGGTCTTCTAATCAAGCGGCGGCGGTATAAAGTTTAATTTATGTCGCACCCAGCAGCATTCTGAACCAAGTGCTCTGTTCGCTTGACAAGAAATCTCTCCAATGAACACAGGAAACAGCAGCCACGTATACGGTATATATGCTGTATATGGGAGGGCTCACCAGCTGAAACCTGGTGTATAGCTACTATGCTAATGGCATGCTGGCATTGGACAGCTTGTCTGACAGCTCCTGTGTACCGTGGAGACGTATGCGAGTAATGGCCGAGGCTAATGCACCCAAAGGACTGTGAATGGGGAGAGAATGACAGTTCTGGTAGCGGTAAATGGGCAAATGTGCAAAGGTAAGGCTCTACATCTGTTAATAACAGCATCTGAAGGAGGGAGAGGGGAGGGATGGAGGAGCGAGGGCGACATGGGGAAAGAAAGAGGAATGGAAAGAAAGGTAAAACAGCAGATGGAAAATGTCAGGTTTTTGCCGGGATTAATACTTGACAAATCCTGGTGGTAGATAAAGAGGATAAAGAGCCGGTTAACTAGTCTCTAAACTACCGCGACTGGACCATAAACGGCGTGACAAAAGAGGAAGAGATCGACAAGCTGTAATGTCTGCCCACTTCTCTTCCCCATTAACAAAGTAGCGGGGAATCGGACGGGTCAATGACTCCAACCGCCATGCCTCCAACTGTCATCTGAGAGCTTCATGGAGTATAATTGACTGAAGCGTGACCTGCAGTGCTCTCTTTATACTGTGATCTTTTGTGCCTGCGAGTGTTCGCTGTGTATATGTGGTCACACCTAAGCCAACACCCCATGGCCTTCCTCACATTCATCAGATTGATATAAATATTCATGAGGGGGCTGGTGGCCGGTGTCTCGATACGGGGGTGCTACTATGAACGGAGAGTGCGTGCGCGTGGGGGTGTGTGTGTGTGTGTGTGTGCGCGCGTGTGTGTGTGTGCGTGTGTGTGCGCGCATGTC